GTGGAAGCCAGCGGGAGGCTCCCATGCCATGAATTCCAGAGTATTCAGGTTTGGCCATTCCTTTCTGCTCAGGAATCCCATAGAGGTATTTATCTAGAATGTTTTCCTTCTTCTCTTCTCAGAGAAGAAGACGTTGTTTTATTCGGGACCAGACCGTTGACCCACCAAGTCCAGTCTCTTTTCACACCCGGATGGGTTGAAATTGGGCTCTCCGTGAGTTTTGGCCTTCGGTGCCAACTTCAGGGGTGGGGGTGGGTGGGTGGCTAATGGTTTCCCAGTTCTTGTTGACCTTGAGGGGAAGCCATTTTTTCATCCTTTCAGGCTAGAGCCTTTCCCAACCCAGGACTCCTCGTGTGCAAAGCATATCCGCTATCATTCATCTGCACAGGTCCATTGCTGCACTTCCAGAATGCCTTTCAATTTGCTCCTTCGGATGAAGGCATTGGAATCATAGAATCATGGAATTAACAGAGTTGGAAGTGGCCAATAAGGCAGTAAATGATGCTGGTGTTCTCTGGCTGTGGAGGATTTAAGGAAGGAAGGCCCCCCAACCCGTTCCCTTTGTGAGACAAAGTCAGATGCCTCCAGAGAGCTCACCATGGCTTGGCCTGCGTTTCTCCTTGGCCTTCTCAGTCACTGCTCAGGTAGGAGCAGGCAGAAAGAACCGCACACTCTACAGCTACACACCTGTTTGGGTTATGCCTTTTGTGCTTTTGTGGTATTTCACAACCCAACAAGTGTATAAAATTCAGCCTTTTTCTTTCTCTATCTTCCCAAGGAATCTGTTCCCAGGCACTCACTTTCCCCTGCGGCTCCAGGACAAGGAGTGACTCTCTCCTGCACCAGAACCAGTCGTGGTCACTGGAAGAACTTCATGTGGCTTCAGCAGAAACCCGGAGAGGCCCCTCGCTTTGTCCTCTCTCCTGGTTGCAGCCGGGGAGAAGGGATCCCTGATCGGTTCACGGCTTCCCAGTCAGAGGGCGCCGGTCTTTCACCATAACTAACGCTGAGGCTGGAGATGAGGCAGATTCGCACTGTGCTGCTTGGCATGGCTCTGGCGCTCTGCCTCATGGGGGTGCAACTGAGTGGGAACCTGAGACTGAAACCTTCCCTCTTCCTCTCGAGAAAGAGACAGAGAAACGGGACAACTGCTCCAGGATCTCTGATTTCCACCTTATGACTCCCCCACTTGATTTTCCTTGGGTTGTCCTGTAATTTAGCTTCATTTGTGTATTGTTGATTATGACAAGGTGAAACCGGTGTATTAGATCGAATATATCACCTCTTAAACTAGAAATGGACGGAAAAGCCACGGGCGAGGGGTTGTAGTGGAATAAACCCGGCAATTGCATGCATGGATAGGGATTCAAATGTGCACCTTAACTATCATTACAAATTTCAGTATCAAAAAAATACAGTGGACCCTCTACTTAACGGAATTAATCCGTATTGGAATGGTGGCTGCAGGTCGAAAAGTCTGTAAGTCAAGTCTCCATTGACCTACAGTGCATTAAAAACCAATTAATCCCATAACTGGCCATTTTTGTTCTATTTTTGATCCATTTTCTTTTTTTCAAAGCCACCGGCAAGGGGTTGTGGTGGATTAAAACTGGAAATTGCATGCACGGATAGGAATTCAAATGTGCACCTTAACCATCACTACAAACTTCAGTGTATATATAAATATATATATAAATCCTTCTTTCATAATTGGTAAATCTGTTGTTGGCTTCCCTCACAACCCACAACGTTTCCACACCTATGTTTGTGAAATGTTGGCCAGGGACACATGCGCAGGGCCAGCCATTCTGTCTTTGAGTTGGGCCACTGTTACGATGCTTAAAATTTAACTATCAAAAGATGCCGTATCTGTTCCTCCCCTGCCTGTGCAGAGCTATGAGAACTGGAATCTTTTTCCATAACTTCATGCTTCAGAATCCGTTCCTTGTCCTTTATGGACGTTCTTCTGCCACTGTCAGCTACTGCAGCAATAAATATGCTCTTTACTCCTCCTATTTCTTCAGTGTTTTTACTAGATCATCATGAGAGCCGTGTAGGCATCGTAGATCAAACTCATCCCATCTCATTTCTAAATGAACAAAAAAGGCACGGGGAAGGATGTGTGTCCTGGAATGAAACAGGAATTCATTTACTGAAGATTCCTTGGGTCTGTAAGAATTCAGATTCACGCCTTCAGCGTGACGACATGTTCTATAAGAAAAACATCATCACTGTTTCCTTCACTCCTAGACATTGTGGTTTGGTTTTATCCACAACTTCCATTTTTCCCCACAGTTTTGTTTCTGAAACATCAGCTGCGATGAGAAGCCTGTGCAAGGCCGGCTCTTCCACCTTTGAGCTCCCAGGCGCTGGGCGCCTCTTGCTATGGTTCTTGGCAGTTCGCGATCCCCGATGCCAGAGATGATCCTTGCCTTCCTGTGGAGAATGGAGAGAATGGGGAGGGTAGGCAGTACAATCACAGGGAGTTCTTCCCTGGTCCCTCCTAGTCGTTCCTGTGGAGACGTCAGCCACTTGATCCATTAAAAAAGGCCCTTTGGAGAATCTCTCTCTATATCTCTCTCTCTCTCTAAGGGAAACTTACAACTTCTTGCCAAGATCTGGAAATGTTTGTGAATTCACAAATCTGGAGAAAATCAAGTCCTCCTTCCAGGCAAACAATGTTTTAAAGAGGGAGCATGCTACTGGTTTTTCTCATCCAAAATCAAAGCCTTATCATTTCAGACGTAGCCCACAGAAGTGTTCCTCTCTCCGTCTCTCTTTCATTTCAGATATTCCCCACCGACTTCTTCCCAGACAGAAGCTCTGTTTGCCAACAATGCACATTTCGTCCTCGCCTTCATTTTCTATCTCAAGCGTCCTGGCGGACATGAGGACTCTCACAGGGACTGAGGGATATTCGTTGCCCTCCTCGTCCGCAGTGAGGAGAGGAGCCTGCAAAGGTCCCTTGAGCATCTTTTGGCATCTTATCCTCCTTGCTCCATGGAGGTCCCAGTTCTGCAGCCTTTGGCCTTTAGGGGGAACTGCTGGTGATGAAAAGAATTCAAAGGATCACCAAGAATGTTACAGGTTGGATTGACACCTGTCACTCGAAGGCAAAGGACGAAAATATCCAGAACCGAATGTAGTTCTGGTTTCTCTTGGCTCTTTCTAATCATTCCTGCGGATGTCAAATGTAACATGACTACCTGCCCTAGTCTGGCTTTACTCAATCTGATCCAACCTAACCTAAACTTTTTGTGCTCTGTTAATCAATGAATAACGGGTTTTTTTCTAGTCAATGACCATTACGCATAGAATGGAAGTTACAGAAAATCTGTCCTTCCTACACGTTTCATGTAAATTAAACTCAACAGGAAGAGCAGCAGTTTCAATAGAAAGCACATGTCTTTTCTAGCAGGAGGTTTTTGTCCCAGTTCCCCCTTCGTTTGTATCACTGTGAGCTGCGTTGCCGTCCCTCACCTGGCAGTAATAAACTGCCTCGTCTCCTGCTTGAGCCCTGGCAATGCTTAGCCTGGCCGTGTTGCCAGAGTTGGTGCCAGAGAATCGGTCCGAGATCCCATCGGGTCTGCTGTCGTCATTGTATATGATGAGGACTGGAGCCTTCCCCGGTTTCTGCTGGTACCAGTGCACGTTCTTACCCCCAATGTTGTTTCCTGAACAGGAGATTTGTGCATTTCCTCCCAGCGACACAGAGGCGGAGGGCGGCTGGGTCAGCACGTACTGCCCAAAGGAACCTGGAAGGGAAAAGGAATGCCTTAGGATGAAGCAAAGTTCCACCTGTGAAAGGGATCAAGCAAGAGCACATTCCTACATGATACCTGAGGGATAAGAGAGGAAGGTGAGCAGGATGGGAGCCCAGAGCATGATGGGAACAGAGGTGACCCTTCTTTCCCAATTGCAGAGAGTCTTCTGACGCAGACCTTCCTGGCCCTTCTTAAACCTGGCAGAGGGTGGGACGCAGCCCAACATGCAAATGATGTCCCCTCCATAGACTCCCTGCCCTCTTCTTTGAGCCACATGGAAAGATCAAAGTGGCATTCGAACGACTTCCAGTTCTACTTTTATTTATTTTTGGAGCTTCTGATCCTGAATTACAGGGGGAAGGTTAAGAAAATTAAATGATTAGGTAGATTATCCAGCCACATGGAATGACCAGCTGGAGCATGAAGGAAACATGTCTAACTCTTCTGTTTCTGCCATACATGACAATGAATGGTGAGGGATGATAGGCATTGTAGTCCATCAGGATCTCGAGGAACACTATGCTATTGATGAGAGTCCCTTTCTCATTTCTAGAAACCTAACAATCAAGCCCTGTGTCTCGCAGTGGGATACTTCCCTCCTCAGCGTTCCATGGACAAGCTGGACTAAGATCATGCATAAGTGTTTGTGTATCTCTCTCTCTCTGTGTGTGTCTCAGGTGGTGAAGCATCCCAAGACTCGCTCTTTCTGTGCATGTGTCCTGTGAGCGGAGCAGTGATTGCAGTTATTTATTTATTTATTTATTTATTTATTTATTTATTTATTTATTTATTTATACCCCACCCATCTAGTCAATTGACTACTCTGGGCGGCTCATCTTTCCGATGCTGGGAGGGGACGAGTGGCCGAGACAAACGCCAAGTGTGGTCCAACACTAAACAAATACGGATGCCCCCCAAGGCTGCAGAAAGAGGTGATTATGGACATCACGGGGACGATGTGTCGAGACCTGAAGATTGCTGCCCATGGGACAGACCCTCTTTGGGGAAGGAGGGAGAGGGCCTGAAATTGACAAGAGGCATCCAAGATGAAGCTTAGCCCCCAACCACCTTTGACCCTTGGGAGAACCCCTGGTACAGGCCCCTGGAGCGAATTCACCCATGAACCCAGAGTCACTGCGCACGGCCCCTGGAGCGAATTCACCCATGAACCCTGTGTCACCGCTCAGCCCTCCAGCACACCCTGCTTTGGAAAGTTTCTTTCTGGTTCCTGCTTCCTTTCAAGTCCCAGGTGCGAATCCTACAAACTCCTCTGTGACCGTTTAACTCTTTCAGTTATTCCACATGTAGACCAACGGCTCCCCTTGAAGGCCAAGGGCAAAAGCACCAACAGTCGTAGGATGTCAGGGGCTGCTCCTGGCAACACCCCATGTAAGGATGAGGGGAGGGAAAACCCCTCTCCTCCCTGGGGAGGAGGAGTGCCAAGATTTTCCTTCGGTCCCTGTGAGAGTCCTCGCATCAGATAGGACTCTTTATATTGACAATGAAGGCAAGGTAGAAATGTGTGTTGTTGTCAAATATGGCTTCTGTTAGGAACGCATCCGTAGCGAACGTCCAAAATGAAAGAGAGACAGTGAGAGAAATATTTCCAAGGGCTACGACCTAGCCATGAAAAGTCTGATTTTAAATAAGAAACACACGCCATACACTCCCTCTTAAAAACACTGTTCGCTTGGGGGGGGGGACTCCCTCGTTGCTAGCGAACAGCCCCTGAAAGTCATGCTGTTTGCCTGGAGCCTGCAGAAGGAAGCAAGAGGATTTGGGCAATGGAAAAAAGGGAGTCTCATCAGTGTCCCTCTAGATCCTGATGGACTACAGTGCCTATCATCCCTCATCATTTGTTGTTGGGCAATGGATTGGTAAAGGAGCAAGGGTAACTGCAAAGATCAGAAATTAAGAAGATCATGATGAAAACATGCAAAAAAAGCAGGAGAACAGAATGCAGGCCTTCAGGGGGAGCCGTTGCTCCACATGAAAGAGTTAAAATATTCACAGAGGAGTTTGCAGGATTCGCACCTGGCACTTGAAAGGAAGCAGGAACCACACAGAAACTTTCCACAGCAGGGTGTGCTGGAGGGGTGAGCGGTGACTCTAGGTTTGTGGGTGAATTCGCTCCAGGGGCCTGCAGCATTTCCTTCTGGGGGAAAGTCCTGCCTCAGACGGCCACGTCTTTCGGGCCAGCCCCGCTCCTTCCCTCTTCACAGAGTACAATAAAGGTTTTGAGTCGATCAAGAAAAGGGTGAGTCCTCTCTGATTCCACCATTCCATTCTCAGGACATAGCCAAACTTTCGTACATTTAAGGGAGTTTTTAAGTATAAGCTTGTGAGATTCCTGGGTGCCCAATCCACAGCCGCCTCAGCTGTAACTTTGAAACAACGGCGCTCAGGCGGCCGGCCTCTTTCCTGACCGACCTCAAACAAAGACGTGGCTGGCAAAATCCACGTGGCCAAGAACCTTTGTGGTCGCTGTCTTGTTCTGTAAAGTGGCCTCCATCTCATGGCGAGCACATGAAGGCATGCTCCCAAAAGGTCCTGTCCTCAACCGCCCTGCTCAGCTCTGGCAAACCCAGGCCTGTGAGTTTAAAGCTAAGGGGGATTTTCGTGGTTGTAACAGAATCGGGAGGGTCACCAGTATTATTTTGCTCTCAGACTTCTTCTCTTGAAGTCTGGTGGACTCGGCAGACATCTTTAAAAAGGTAAAGTTTCCCTTGACAATTTGTCCAGTCATGTCTGACTCTAGGTGCTAATCTCCGTTTCCAACCCATAGAGCCAGCGTTTGTCCGCAGACAATCCTCAGTGGTCACGTGGCCAGCGTGACTAGACACGGAACGCCGTTTACCTCCCCACCGAGGTGGTACCTATTTATCTACGCACATTTTTTACATGCTTTCGAACCGCTAGGTTTGCAGGAGCTGGGACAAGCGACGGGAACTCCCTCCGTCGCGTGGATTCGATCTTCCGACGGCAGGTCTTCTGACCTTGCAGCACAGAGGCTTCAGGAAGGCAGGAGTGGAAGCAGCCGACATTCCACCTCTCGCCTGCCAGTGGTTTCAAGTTGCTTCTTCCGAGAAGCAGCGTTCCACTTCCATG